CACTTCTCCGCGGAAATCTGACGCCAATTATAAATAGCTCCCTTGAAAAGCAAAGACCCTAATGGCGCGAACGGGTAATCGAACATGTGGTCGTGCAGGTTGATGGGAAAGAAGACACGACATACAAGGTTTTCAAATTAGTGGTTGGAAAAAGCGAAACTTGTTGAAAGACCAATCGCTGGGTATCTACCTGTACCTTAACCAGGCCGTCCATTTTTTGTCAGGGCCGATTTATTGGTACCAGATCCGTCTGGGGAAAAAACACTGAGTCCTACATTCCAACAGCGAGTTTCATTTCACTGGCCAGATTGCATCCCAATATTTGTAAAATCCAATGCAAGTAGAGTACATGGCGTATTCTAAAGTGGTGTGGGCAAATAAATTATTCTTCTCTTCATTTCGCACCGGTTGTAGATAGTAATGATATAGCACTTAAAGGCACGAGTCGGGATTGAATTGATGCGTTATTTTGTTTGAAATTAGGCAAGGAGGTGCAATGAGGAACATTAGTGAGGAGAAAAAAAAAGCACCATAGAAAACACTAAATTTCCCTTAGAGGCCGGCCGTATATGACGGAGAGACACAGCGCTGCGAGGAGAGGGAAAACGCGAGATAGTACGTCGTACGCGAGAGCGCAGAGCCACGTATGCCGTGGTTGATAAGGATGGCAGCACGGCAGCACACAAGGCAAGGCCTTAGCGCCGTTGCCTCGCACTTTTGAGTCGCGACAGTGTCGTGCCTCCTGCCTTGGGACCCCTCTTTCTCACTCTAGAAGGGCTGGCTCTTGGGACCTGATCCGACTCGTGACTTTAAGATTAGGGACCTAACAAGAAATTAGACTCCGGATGTGACAGCTGTCGCTTTTTTCACTAGAATCCGTTCCCACAATTCCTGCAGGTATTACGCGCTGCCCTCACTGAGCCATGAAGGAACATTACTTTCGGGATGATGCTTCCTATCGGCTGATTCTAAAGAACAGGCGCTATCATATTGTACGGGGCCTTTTTTAGGGCTAAGTATGGAAGGGGCAGGAACTCCGGAGAAAATGAAGATGGTTCACGCACCTCGGAGCAGGGTGAATATCGCTTGAGGATTCCTCAACGGCACGTCGAGGATTTTCTGATCAGTTACGCTCTCTCGCGCGGACATTCACACTCGCCATGCGCGAGCCGTCTGTGCTCTCCGCGCGGATGTTCACTCTCGGCACTACTCTCGCATGGTAGAGAGCCATGGTCGAGGAAATCCTCGACCGTTATTCACCCTGCCTTGGAGTCTTCCTTCCCATAGCTAAGGCTTACTCCCATTTCCCATTTTCAAAGAAGGAAATGTTTTATGTTATCCCCGCATTTGGAGCCGCCTACCCATTAAGGTTACTGCCATTTAACGAAAAAATGTTTTAAAGTAGAAATGGCTGTTAAATGACATAGCGATCAGGATGGCCGTGGGCCTGAGATAGGCCACACACACGCTGGTAGCTTGTGAGCCACAAAAAAGGTTTTTGCCGAATCGTGCAATGCGGAACATTACAGTTATGTTTGTTTCAGTACTACACCTCCATTGCATAATAAACTAACACATGAACAAACTACAAAAAGGGTAAAGTTCTCCGCGAGGCAGTTTTTGGCCAGTTCTTTTATGGAACGCTTGACGCATCCTGCTTCTTTTCAGAATCGTATTGGCATCCAAACACGATATGGCCTTACGCTGTCCGCCAGTATACAATTCAGTGCACATTGACTGGACGAAATTCGATACGGTATTGTACCTCAGACCATAAGGGTGGTATACATCGCCACTCGACGTTACACTACCCCTGTTCTAACGAATGAATGGCTAGAACTGAATAGGTAAACAAATAAATAAGTAAATAAGTGAATAAATAGGTAGGTAGTTGAGCAGGCAAGTAAATAAAAAAAATTGATGACAAGTTTCTGCAAGGATTGGAGCTTGAGGATCGAGTTGTGTAAGCGACTCGGGACCGGCCAAACAACACAAACATGTTTTCCTTTTAGAGAACACCGGGAAATGTTTACACGGTCTATCGGTTTTCCTCCAGCAAACAAGAAGATGCAGTTTGACGGCAGGAGCGGGTGGCTCATCGTGAGATGGGGAACAAAGCTATAGGCGAAATGTCTGCAAGCTGCTGCAATTGTTGAATGCAATCAAGCAGCAATTATAATAGTAATCCGCTTCGCTCTTATTGTCGGCACCCAGCGTTGCAAGGCGACGTCGACAGCGCGCTGGAAAGGGCACGATTGCATTTTGCAAGGGTTTAGCGCTGAGAAGGAAAATGGGCTAGCCTGAGTAGAACCATTTTTTTAAGGGTCCAAGGTAGATAAATTATTCCACACCTCAGAAAAACCATTCAGGACAACGGAAAACATCGTTCTAGCATAGGATTTACTTGGTGTGGGAGAAGGAATAGTCAAATCATGGGGGCTGGAGCGTCATATCTCGTTTGTCCTTGTATTGATTTGAGTTGTATTACATGCGTGTGACTGCATGCGAGGAAACACGCCGCCTAAACAAATAACTAACTATCACTAATAACTGCAATGCTGCACGCACTCGTGAACAGAATTCGTTACTAAAGAAATGGATAAAACACAATACGGATAAGTGCATAAAAACGCAAATCGAAATATAAAAGTAAACTTAGGAATGAAGTACTATGGAGAAAGCAACACAACTTTGAACAACAGATGAGAGTTAGAGAGAAAAGGTAAGCCAACAAATAAATTGGAAAGACCTATGGGCAGATGTTGGGCAACTAGTTTCCGAAAAAGAGCAAAACTTTTAGGGAAGCCTCCCCTCTTAATGATCTTGTTGAATGCAGACCCAGCACGATGACAGAAAAAATTTAATCTAAGCCTGGTGTTCGATCTGGGAATAAAAATCTTGACATTTCCGCCACGAGTCCTATTATCGCCGGGAGAAAAGAGCTTGCTTTTATCAACACATATCTTACCACAGAAAATTTTGTAAAGGACAAATAAGTCATTATTATTCCTCCTCTTCTCAAGTGTGGACAAACCTAAAATTCTGTTACGGTTGGCACTATTTGGAATTCTGGAATAGTCGTTAACCATACACTCTGACCATTAACTTTCTGGTGAAGTCATTTTGAACTTTCTCAAGCGCATTGATGAGCGAACGCTTGTGAGGAGTGTAGATAACAGTTCCATATTCTAATATAGGTCGGATGTACGTTTTGTATGCACGAAGGAGGAAACCGCTTCTCGGCAGGGCAAAACCCTCTAGCACGCTTTAGTAAATTCCTTGTCTCTGAATTGCCTTAATTGTAGTTTAGCTTAAATATGGTCATCAAGGTAAAGATTCGCGAGTAAATCAATGAAAGCCAGGATCAGAAATTTTTCCCGTTGGTAAGGATCTGCCCATCGATATGATAGAAGCTACTGGGCTGAGTGGGCTGGGTACCAGAAGACAACAACAGGACTTTGGTTTTCTCCACAGAAAGGGGAAGCTCCCAGTTCTTGGACCATTCATTAACAATTTCGATTGCTTGTTGTAGCACAATTGAATCGGCTTCACTTTCAATAACCTTATAGATCTTGAGATCGTCTGCAAATATCTTACATTCTACTCCGGTTTCAGTAACTAGGGAACTAAGCTCATATGTGTAAATATTGAATAGTAACGGCGATAAAACCCCGCCCTGCGGGACGCCACTGTGAACTTGCTTTTCACTTGAATATGACTCGCTGATGCGTACCTGAAATGTACGATTTGTGAGGAATTCCCTCAACCATTTCAAAAGCAATTTGTTTATCCCTACCATCTCAAGTTTCGCAAAAAGCTTGTTATGAGGAACTTTATCAAATGCTTTCATAAAGTCAAAATAGATTATGTGTACCTCTTTCTTAGCATCAAGTGCTAGGGTCCAGTCATTGAGAGCTTCAAGTAATTGTGTCACCGTGGACTTATGTTTGACGAAACCGTGCTGATTAGGACTAATTACCCCACCCCACCCCCCCCCGTGACTTCTGTCTACAGTGCCTCCCCCCCCCCCCGACAATTTCTCCCCCTCTTTCACAATACTCTTAATATAATAACGCACTCATACACTCACAATGACACGCACGTACTCCACACAGAGGTTTATAGTTAATAGCCAACACGTCGAAGAAAACAACACGATTAATACAAGACAGAAAGGGGTGACAACTAAGTGAGTGTTTCCAATAGACGATCCCATAATATAATAATATATAAAATATAAAAAAATAAAAAAATAAAAAAAAAAAAAAAAAAAAAAAAAAAAAAAAAAAAAAAAAAAAAAAAAAAAAAAAAAAAAAAAAAAAATAAAAAAAAAAAAAAAAAAAAAAAAAAAAAAAAAAAAAAAAAAAAAAAAAAAAAAAAATAATATAAAAAAAAAAAAATTAATAAGAATAAGGAAAAACATAGATAAGTTTGCCATTGGGATATTAACAAGGATTTACTTCTTCCTGCAACATAGATTGATCCAGGAACGCGGGAAAAGGGGTAGAGTTAGAAAGTTGGAACGGGTAAGAGGGCCTCGTCGTGTAGGAGTAACGGAAGCAAAATAAAATCCCATAAATACGGATTTATAAATGATACAATATACAATATAATACCTCCCAGATTTGAGGCGAGACATGAATTCTGAGTGAGTTTGGGACGCATCATCTAAAAACTCTTATTACCACATAGCATTACTTTTTCAACACATGAACCCCCCACTACATCCTCGATTACCACCCTTTAGAAAGAAAGCAAAAATACCAAAATACGTACAAAGTATCGCCATTGTCTTCTTGTTTATTTGTTTTGACGGCTTTGGTCCAAGCCTTGGAGCAAGATTTTGATAACCGCAAAAGATGAGGGGGATAGAATAACCCAGGTTGCTGTACTTCGACCACTGGGACAAAATTGTTAATCGTGTGCCTAAGCACGAAAATAAAAAGTTCATACATTTGATTGACATCGGAGCAGCAGTTGAACGAGCCAAACCAATCGACATCCGATAGGTAACTACAGATTTTGTTGTAATCTGCCTTGGTGTATTTTCTTTTGAAGACGGGCTTATGCTCACATCTAGGGTTATCGATGCTGAAACTTATCATCGCATGGTCGCTAGAACCAATGGGAGAATTTATGGCCACTTCACTGATAAGACCGACCTTATTGCAAAACAATAAATCCAGAGTATGACTTCCACGGGTGGGAGTGGGTACAAATTGCATCAAATTGTAACTTTTGCAAAGTTGTAAAATAGTTCCATTGAGACTAGCAACATTGTTAATTTCATCATTGGTCCATTCGATGTTAGGGAGATTGAAATCCCCCATAACAATGAACGGGTAAGAACAAATTGAAAGATCAGTTATAGCTTTGAAGAGCTGCAGAGTTTTAATTTGATTGCATGACGGGGCCCTATATAACACAACAATCCTGCGATAATTCAGGAAAAGTAAATCGCAACACAGTATCTCATAGGAGTCCTTGATAGCTTCTTTGATAACGATGTGGTAAGATAAGGTTTTCCTGACCAGAAATGCTACGCCACCCCCGGCTTTTCGTGGCCTATCACAACGTACCAAAGTGTACTCGTGTCCCAAAATGCCAAGATATGTGGAACTATCATGAACAGGCTTGAGCCATGTTTCGGTTAGTGCTGCGAGGTCATAGCAAAAGTTCGATAGAAGAAAAACGAGAGAGGAAGAGTTCTTTGGGGAGTGACCTAATGTTGCTTAGGAAACATTTGAAACTAATCGCCCAACTCCGCGGATTTACTATGCGTTTAAAGCGCGGGTATTACAACCAGACAAATCACACTCCGACATCATAGACCTATCTAAAACAGAAGCGGGGGAAGAAGCTAAATTAGCACATGCAATTGGGGCGTTAACAACATATACCCCCCCAAACCCAGGCCATTGTTAGGAAGTAATAATCACATAACCTAGATTGTTTGAGAGCCGAAGCTTTTCCCTCTCTGCTTTGGGCAGAGAGGGCCGTATATATGTACCCTTAAACTGTGAATATTTGAGTTTATGGGCACGGCGAAGGGCTTCGTCTCTAAACTTTGTGCTAGGAAGGACTACTTTCAAGAGCCGAGGTCGATGAGGAGATGGTCTACCCATTCTGTAGACCGACAAAGGAATACATTCAATTTGGAGGTAGTTAAAAAGCACTCTAATACAATTCCAGTCATGAGAAAGTCGATTCGAAACCAAAAAATCAGAAGACTCAGGAACACCGATAATCACTAGAGATCGAGCAAATTCTTTAGATTCACAACAAGAACTATCAGAGGAATGATTAACAGCCTCAGAAACCTGTGTAGGATTTGTGAGATCAATATGAGGAGGAGGTTTGGAGGCCACAGATAATGAACGACGCAAAGTAGAGTTCTCATCACGCAATTTTTGAATTTCAGCCGATAGCTCTTTGTTTTCGGTAGCTAGAAGTTCAATCTTTTCTTTAGCATCAAGGAGGTAATCCACAATCGTTTTTAAATACGGTGGCATCGATTCATCTGACATCAGTTGCTCAACCGCCGACATAAGCACTTTTTCTTGTTCGGTACTCTGGGGCGAACCCATATCGACCAGACCTCGTTTACGGCCCTTAAATTTAGATACGACAGAAAGGAGGGCACTCATAATAGAATATGGATAGAAGGCACCTAATGAAGTGGCAGTGAGAAAAAGAAATTCTTCGCTTTCTGCCACAGGAAAGCTCACAAAATTGAAAAGTTTGACTGAGGCGATCGAAGGTCAAAGGCAGACTCGATAACTATTGATTGATAACTGACAACAGGAAAACATCACCTCGAGTGGTGGCAATTAAAATTCAAGTCAAATTCCCCTGCCACTAAGGGTGCAGCGCAGTATCACACATCCCGATGAGAAGAAGTAAGACGGATGAGAATATCAAGCGAAACCAAATTCGGTATTCTGAATAAATAGCGTCAGGCGAATAGACAGGCAGCTAGGCGAGCAGAGCAGAGGCCGACGCAGCCGCTCACGGCCAAGGCAGAGAGCGGAATGATGCTAACCATAACTCGATTAGCCTTGTATGCTAAGAAAAGGTTCTTAACACGGTAAAAACGGTGGTATGGGTCCCATTGGAATAATCCGTTACATGTTTTTCAGCATTTGTCTTTGCTACGAATGGAGAAAAGGAAAGAAGTGTCAAAGTATTGGCCTAGATGTCGATGGCGAGACTCGTAGGTATAAACCCACAAAGAATCCAGTATAAAAACTACTGCAGATTCTTTTCTTTTAGACAGAAGGGTACCACGACACAATAAAAAGTGTGTCTCATTTTAATCAATAAATAAATAGAACAAATAAATTCGAGCATTAATCGGAATATATGCTCTTGAAGGGCGGAAGTGTGTAGTGGCAAGTGGCACGCTTACCACGCGAGCGGTCCGGGATCAAATCTGGGTCGTGAGTCGCCCGGGCCAACCAAGCCTTCCATCCCTCCGGGGTCGGTTAATTGGTACCAGACTTGTCTGGGAGGATAAAAACACTGACTTGAACATCGGCTGGCCCCCGCAAGTCATTGTATAGGCCACATCGCATTCAAACGCCACTACGAATGTACAAATGGAAGTAGAATGCGTGCCGCATCCCAAAAAGGGATTGATCAACGGCAAATGCTTTATCCTTTATCCTTTATGCTCTTGAATGCTATCGTATATCATAATGTCCGATAAAATCAAACTCTGCGGGGGAGTCTCTATTGCCTCCTAGCCATTAAATTTTTAGACGTAGAGCGAACGTGAACGGCCTCAATCGCACTGACTGAGTGAGATAAGGCGATAGTACTTATCAGGTTAGACAAATGAAATTCACTTCGACAAAGTCCAAAGATTAGCAATTCCATTAGCGCTTTTCAACACCCTATCGGAAAGGGTTGTTTATGACTTTATTGAACTGTAAATGAACTTACTGTAAATAGAAAAGTAGAATGCAGTTGTGAGTGAAAATTCTAACCCTTTCTCCGCACATTGGAGCGGTGGTGCTGCGAGTAGGAAACGAAGTGCTTTGCTTTTGATTGGAACGGTTTTCTGTTCATTTCAAACAGGCTTTCCATACCTCTCGCATCGGTAGCCCAGGTATATAATAGGCTGAAGTTCTCACTCGTATATCATCGTCTCCATCTCCTCTCCCCCATCGCACGGTAACGGAAACACATTAAAAGCCCTTCCGCGATCAGCTAGGCCTTATAATTACGCTACAACAAGAAGCAGAGCAAGGCTGAAGACAAAAAGCTGCCGACAATACTTAAAGTAAGAATAATCTGTAGAGCCGGACTAAGAGGCTCTATGAGAACTTATTCTCAAAAGCACTGGTGTCGAGTCGAGAACTCATCAAGATCAAAGAGCATTGAGGACAGGCGGGACGCAGACATATTGGCAACGGTGGGCGTTCACGCGTAGTACGTGTATATGCAAATATTGTACTATGCCCGTGGCGACAAAGGTATGACATTTTCGTGGCTCAAAACGCGTAGCCACGAAAATGTCTACGCGTTTCGACCCACGAAATGTCATAACTTTGTCGAAAAAAAAACATATAGATTCCTTGACTATTTTCACTGGAACACCCTTCCGTGACTGGAGCGGATGAATTCAGCGACAAAGGTATGACATTTTCGTGGCAAAACGTAACGAGCGTTTTGAGCCACGAAAATGTCATACCTTTGTCGTTGAATTCATCCGCTCCATTCACGGAAGGGTGTTTCGGTGAAAATAGTCAAGGGATTTATATGTTCTTGAAGTGTGTCTAACCGACTGAAGATAGAAGGCGAATGCACGGCTCACTTCAAGTTAGCGGCTCGAATGAGTTTTTCCCATATTCTTATCCAAGTTCACTGAATTTACTAGTGCCACTGCATTCTGTTTTGTTCGTTTGCTGTTCAATATTCACACATTTATGCCATTTCATAATGACGCAGTGAGATAGAATCCATTCACAATGCATCAGTTCCACTCGCGTTTTCAAACAACAACTCATGCCACGTGAACAAACGACGCCACAATAATCACCAGTCGAAGTCCCTATAGATACCGTTCCATGAAAGTGATAAGAAAGCTAAAAAACAGTCACCAATAAGGGAGTCTTTTTTGAAGCCATCCACGTAGGACAAAGAAATTAGCACGAATCACTCTGGGAAGCAGAGGCAACGATCCGTTCGCACTATTCGAATAGAGGGTCGCATTTGTGGTCTTGAGAAGGAGGGAGGGCCGCATTTCGGAGTTGAGCAAGGTTATCATAGTGGGAAGGCAGGTCTGTGGAGGTCGCCAAAGGTCTTTTGATGAATTTGGTGAAAGTTTTACGAAAGTAGTGAGAATTGTTCAAAGTCGGATTTGCCGCTTCAAGCTACCATGTGCCCCTCCGCGCTCGACGACCGTTTCTGGGGAGAAAGTGGGCGGAGTTGGGTGTGTCGACTGATCTCAGAATCAAATACTATAGCAGCCATGATGGCGAGGGGATCGGAGGAAGGGGGAAGGGGTCGTATTGGGGAAGCCTTCTGAGACTGATGATGGTGGTGGGGAGTTGCATCGTCGCATTGACTACCCCCCCCTTCTAAGACTGACGGTGGTGGTGGGGGTCGCAAAATTTCTGAAAAAAAAGTCGTATGTGACGGCTTACCCTGCTTAAAAGTCTTCTCCTGAAGGGTTTGGGTAGTATCATTCGGCTGAGAGGTAGCATAGACTGCCATTCCACCTCGTGGTGCCCTATACGGCCTCACCCTCTAACTCTAAAAGTTGGTGGTGTTCACCGATTTGTTGAACATGTTACTTGACAAGCGCCACCAAATTTATTCCAAAGTCAAAAGGGGAATAGGCAGGTTTCGACCCGAATTGCTGCACGTACAATTATTCTGCTCGTGTTAGGTTCCTGATTCTTGCTTTGACGAGGGTTTTTGAGCTAAGTTGTTGTGAGCGAACAATCTCTTCGGCACTAGGACCAGTAGCGTACCAGATTCAAAGGGATTTCTATCCAACCAAGTGTGAAATCGCGGGTTCCTTTGGCTTTGTGATTCAAATCAGTAGCGGATCAGTGTCACGCGATGATCTGATTAGCCTAAATTGGTAAGGAGCTTGTGATCACAACTGATCATGAAATTGTGTTCAATTAAACTTGTACAGAATGCTCTCTAGAAAAATGCGCTTATCAGAACTTGTGAATTAGAATATTTCAAGTATGATTCCAGAAAAAAACCTACACATGGACGCCGAAGAAATGGGAAAATTTGCCTGAATTTGTGAATTACTGATTTGTTTGTTTTGCAAATGCTCCTTCCGCCACCAATTGTTTAGGAGACGAATGAGTAGCTACCGTTCAACAGAAAATAATATAACTGCGAGTAGTTAGAAGCGTATTTTATTGACAGAACACAGCGAGTCAGAGTGCTTTGCCCCCTCGAAAAAATCTTATTTTGCAGTAGTCGATCCAGTGATGATTCATCTGGTTATTTTCTATGAAAATTGATCAAGCGCTCAGCGAGGCTTCAATCCACAGTCTTCGTGGTGAACTGATTAGGTTTCTCGTAAGAAAACCCCTTTCTGCACTAGCTGTCACTGCTTTTGTGTAGTGGAAACTCCCTGGGGTTCACTTTCACCAGCTGCCAACAAACGCTGCAAATGAACGTCCATCAAGTTGTTGTTGTTGCTGTTCACGCCCTTCAATGGAGACGGTGCTTTGCATTACAAGTGGTCGGCTTGAGGCATTGTAGCACGAAACTCGTGGGGTGGCAAGTATTAGCGCTCAGGCGACCTTAGTTACTGAGCATGGGAAGCGATTCGATTTTAAGGATACAAGGCGGGGCGGAGTCTGGCATCAGGTGGCGTGAGCATCTGAGTCAGGATTCGGTGCTCGAATTCGCTACAGTCAACAAATCTCTATTCGTGCTGATCAGATTCAGATGCCTTCAGCAGAATCAAATTTTGGGGATAAGGATATGGGAACGATTCTTCTAGGATCGTGCTCTCGTATCGTTTCATTCCATTCGTAAACCTGCGCATGATTTAGCACGGGAATTAACCTCTAAACCATGGGCGTGGAAATTGGCACCACATTCTGCAACACCTCTGCCCTGGTGAAGGTTATACCGTGAATTTGATGAGTCAAGTAATTCCGAGCGGCGTGGAACAGTAGGTAGCTCCGGGCCACTCCAGTACTGCTGGCGCAATACGCTCTGCGCCCCCCCAATCACTGGCTTTCGCAAAAAAAGTATGACACTCGGCCTAATTTGTTTAGCCCGTGCCTATAGATGGAGACTAAGAAAATTATCAAATCTTTCCTCTATTCCTCATTTGATCAAAGGGGTTAGGGAATGAACCACGGGCTAAATTTAGAGCGCGAACCGGTGCCACCCACGCTAAGTGAACTTTTTATGACATCTAGAGAACAGTTTTTTCAGTGTAGAGAATCACACCGTTCTTCTTGCATCAGCCAGGAACAGGTTCGGCGAGAGCGAACCTTAATCAATGATCGCATTCAAATTACACTACTAACCAGAGTGTAGGTACGGCTTATGACAGCCCACCGTATTTTTCACGGTGTCAAAACGGTAACTATTATAA